TTTCCTAAAATCAACAGGCAGAAAAAGATGGTATGAAGTGGTTTCTGGTGTGTCAGTGTTCCCTTTCAGTTCTGCATTTTAAGGGAAGCTATTGAAGAATGCAGTTATTCGTTTGCAAGCCCCTGGAAATGCAAGCAAAGATCACAGTGTCTTTCAGCCTAGCCACGGATATGGGGAGGAAGGGAAGGAGAGAGCATCTTTGTGCTCAAGTCTGGGTTAAGCACTTTAGTGGTATAATGCTTTGCCCAAGGTCACACAGTAAATCAGCAGCAAAAGCAAGAATAAAGCCCAGAGCCCCAGCTCAGCACACCATTCTGTAGACCCCATCCACTTTGCAGCAGAACTTATGTCCTTCAGCCTAATTAAACTCATCCATTCAGTGAGTAATTTAAGTGCAAGCAAAAGTAAATGCCAAGTGACAAATTCTACTGTTGCTGGAGATTTTAACTTGACTGAGGAGAAGGTGCACCCCTGAACGAATCTACAATAGGATCAGGAGCTGTTTTATGCCTTCACTTTGTCTCTTGTCTGTCTGTCAGTCTCTCAGATAAACTGTGTAAGGTGAGCCCGGTATAACAGAGAGATAGGTCGTGGAAAAGAAACAGGTGAAAATAAACTTCTCCTTTTATTTCAAAGTGCATGAATTGAGTATTAAAAAAACCCCAAGAACTTGGCCACAAGTAAGTTACATAACTTAAGCCAGTCTAAAATTATGTGCCAGCAATTTACATGAGTTTTATGTAACTGTTTATACTGCTGTTTATTTAAAAATTACTACTTATCTTGGCGACCGCAGCAACACATCGTGCATTTGCCCGCTCTGGAATACAGGGCACCTTCATTAAAGAACATAGTCACCAATATATTAAACACACAAAAAAAAACCCTGCTCTGACATAACATGAAGTGTCAGATGGAAAGCCGCAACAGCAAAGACATTCAGCGTTCACAACAAAGCAGCCCTTTGGGGCGTTCAGAACAGCACTGGAACATGCTCCATCCTTAATTCATCCAACAGCTTTCAGGTTCATTACAGCACAGTTGGTACAATCTACAAGACCAGCTCTTGTTCCTGGGCTCTTATAAAGGGCCCTCTTCATCTTTCTATGCTTGAGTATTTTTATATTCAACTTTTGCAGTGCTGAGGTTACCTCACCTTTTGTTCTATCTTAAAGTCCCAAGTACTTCAGTTTCCCAAATGGCTGATACTTTTTGTTTGCTACCAGAGCAGTCTCTCCCAGAAATAAGGCAAAGGTTCAGCAAAATCTTCACGATGGGTGCTCCTGAATCGCCATCATTTTCTGATCCAGATTAATCACAAGTGTAAGACCATGGTTGTGTAGCATCATTCTGGTACCAGGAAGAGCTATGTGTGTCCCACATAGCCAGAAAGTGTGAGCAACACTGATTTAATAGTCGGAGGATTTTGTCCCTTGTTTTGGGACCTGCTGAGTGAACAAAATGCTCTACCTCTCTTTGCCTTCATTTTCCCATCTGCAAAATGGGTATTCACATCCTTCTAAAAGGTTTAAAAGCCAATCAATGAGTATGGTATAATATTATGTATTATTTTTAGCCAACCATTACAGCAGAAAGCTGAAATCTGGCAATCTATTACAGCAGATATAAACTTCAGTTATAAATTCCTGACGTTGATTTGCATTTCTTTAGAACTATATCATAGAATTTTCTTCTCACTTGTGTCAGTAAAATCATGGGAGAAAAATTGTTAAAATCAAAAGTAAGCAAAAAATTCCAAAATTTGTTATGAGTTTAAGACAGATCTCATGAGTCAGAGATTGACATTCTGTCAAAAAACAGCAATGCTTCAGTGTATCCTGTTAATATGTTTTCAGCAGTTCATTGGAACAAGGGCAAAAAGAAGGCACTATTCCAAGACAGCTGTTTGAAAAATATTTATTTTTCAGTTATGGAGGTTTTTATTGAAACTGGGGGGCAAGAGTTTTCCAAATGTGAGGGTTTAAAATGCATCTATTTGAAAACTGAACTTTGAGTAACTTTGTAGAAACCATCTTGTTTTGGTAAACCTCCCTTAAAAGGGGGATTCTCAATTTTAACGATAACCATAACCTGATCCACCAGCTAAGACCATATTCCTGTTTTCAGTTTGATAGGTCTCAGCCACCACAGCGTAAGGCATCACTTGGCTCTGTAAGGAGAAGCACAGCTGAACCTCAGCCTAGCAGCCAGCAAGGACTCACTGGTGAAGGGGCTTAGAGGGTTACCCAAACCCTGCAGTACCTCCTGAAAGGACTAGGTCCTTTCCCTAGCAAGTAGTTGTCCTTCAAGGGACTGGGAGATTACTGTGTCACCCCACAAGTGGATGAGGGTGTTTGTCCTGCACATGAGGCTTCACTGGTGTGACCTGGGACAACAGTTTGCTCTAGAAGATAAGGACAAAGCTGTGATTTATTCTTTTAAACCCCACTTCCTCAGCTGAGAGCTTTAAAGGCAGTGTCAGCCTTTTCTCCCCTTGGTAACTCAGCTTCTTTCTCTGAACTCAGTAGTCCTTGACTATTTCTGAGAACAAACTGCCATGCTGTTACTAGTCTTAATACTAGTACCATGATGGTCCAGCTGTACACATGCTGGCAAATGTGTAGGATTGCAATCCTGTTTAGATTAAGGTAGTGAATTTCTCTCCAGGCAGACAACTCTAAATATTAGGAGCTCCTTTCCAAATGCCAGAATACAAGTGGATGGCTTGAGGAGACCCACATCAAGAATAGGGCTGCAATGTTTATTTGTGTAAGCTACCCAAACATAAATATACCATCTGAATTTCCAGTTTATGTTTGGGCAGCCTTCAGTCCATGGAACAGCTAAAACTTTGGGAAGCTCAAAAGCCACTTAAAGCTGCTTATTTCACCCTTGGTTTTTGTTTTGTGCTGCCTAAAGTGCAACCTTAGCCCCGCATGCTGTGCAGCACACTCAGTCATGCTGGAGGCTTCAGGGAAGACGGGATTTGCTGCCAACGCCTGTCCTGAGTGACATGATCTTGCTTTACATGAACCTTTCTTTGAAAGGAAGAATGGTATCTGAAGTGACTGCAAGCCTGTTGATAACGTGTTCAGCAGTTCAAACAGGGTTTCTCCAGCTTATCCCTCTGGAAAACTGACATGTCTAAGTTTGCAGCATGTATACAATGTCCTCAATGATTTAATACAGTGGAGTTATGAACCCTGAAAATCGTGGTTTACAATGGAAAATTTGACAGGCCATCAGGTTCAAAGGTACTTAAAAGTATTCCTATAATTAAGTTGTCACCAAAAGCCTACAATACAGTACCATAACATTCTCTACGTATTCAGACTAATGTACAGAAATAGCTTCCACTAAAGGTGGCAGGAATTAGGTACTTAAAACCTTTGGAAAAGTAGGAAACTACCCCCTGTAAAAGTTCAAAGACAATAGACAAAACCAATATCCTTTTCATTGCAGCAAGCAGAAAAATGTTGCAGAACATGCTGTGCATTCACAAACTGCAATCACAGAAAAGGAGCAATTAGGAGAGAAAGGAAAAATGAGTTGTGCTATTGATACTTGGCTGCTTTAGAAAAATGTGTTGGCAGTTAAATGTATATACTGAGCGCAAAATTCTGTGAAGCCTTTTTCTTTTAACGTGAAAATACCAGTGTGACGCAGCCAGAAGATGAAAATTCCACATGCTGAAATTAAAATACCTTTATCCTCTGATCCAGGCGAAATTATTGACTTTTATACTAACAAATATGCAAAACCAGAAAGGTATCTAGAAACTATTTTGTGAATCTTAAAGGGAAAGCTTTGGGTTGAATTCTCTTCCTTGATGTAAATCCAGAAAACTGATGGAATTTTCCCATGTCCACAGTAGAATAAGAGATTATTTTCACTATGGTTTTGAGAGGTTTTCCTGAGTTTGAGTGTGAGGGTGCAAGTTACTAAATCCCAGAGTTATGTCTCCAGGATTAACCCTAACCCTAATCATGGTACCTGTCATTAATAACGTATAATTGAAGAAAAAGAGGCTGTCCCTATACCTGCAGCCATCAGTTCCCCACTTGCATAGATTCCCTTCTTAAAATCCCCTAGTAGGTTTCTGAGGCCTATTTCAGACTATTTTATATCCACATTCATTTTTGCAAGTATTGGGAAGAGTCCTGGCAGCAGGACTACTCCTACATGAGCCGTCTGTACAAGTTGATGGGAGCACTCTGGTGAAGGTACCCATTGTAATTTAGGCTGCCCGATATGTTAGGAGGGACGTGTCAGCCCAATGCCACTTAATTCCCTTTAAAAGTGGATACAACCTAATAGATCCTTGTGGAGCTCTGTAATTTCAGTGACCACAGCAGCATTAGGCTTGGACAAGAGAGCCAGAACCCACTGAAACCAATGAAGAGACTCCAGTGAGTGTCGGATCCAGTCCAAGGAGGATATTTCTATACAAATTAGCCAGGGTTAGGTGATGAAAGCTTTGTGGACCTGTGGAGAGCAAAGGACTCTCTGCCCATTCCTACCTCTGCAGACCCAATTGCAAAACAGCCCTTTTTGTCAGTTTGGATGTATAAACTGCCAAATGGCATTAGCAGGTCCAAATCCTTTACCTACTCTTTTCCACTACTCTCCTTTCTTTAAAAGGAAATTGTTTAAATGAGGGCAAATGTTGCCTGAATGTAGTTTGTATTGCAGTGTATGAGGTTAGAGTAGATGATCTCCAGAGGTCCCTTCCAACCCTAACAATTCTGTAATTATGTGCATTTTTAAGCAATCTTTACTGAAAAGCTTTTGAGCAGTATTTTGCTTTTCTCTCTCATACACAGAGATATAGTTTAATTATTGTCTGAAGTTTTGTTAGTTATTGTTAAACATGGCTTTTAGTACCCACATGGAATGGGCAACTGCTTGGAGAGAAGTTAACCTGTGAGTGATTCGAGTACTTTGATATCTTCTCTTGGACTGGTATTTGATTTTATTTTCTCCTGCTATTTGTTCCCTAGTGGAATGGAGCTGTTCAGAAGACTTTTCTCCTTTGGCTGGTGAAATAATTATGGATAATCTTCAGTCTTTGAGGTGCACCATCACAGGTCTCAGAACGGTATGTGCCAAGGGACTCATTCAGGCCTCAATGTCCCCTGCTGCCCCAGGGATACAAAGGCACTGATTATTTGCTTCCACGCCTGTTGGCAATAACTGTAGAGTGCCTTTCTTCTAGCAACAAGTTCCAGTCGTTAAACATCATATGTCTGGCATCCGTAATCTGAAAGTCACAAAGGAATAGACAGACAGCATGAACTGGTTTATGTCATCTTAGGGGAGATCAGAAAAGGCTGCAGTGAAAGATGCTGTTTTCTAGATCACAGGATAATCTTAGTGCAGATCAAAGGCTCATGGAAGATCTAGACCTAACTCTGATGACCAGCAGCTAAAATAACAGTTCTTTCTCATCTGCTTTTTCCAGGAACACATATGATGATGGCAATCATTTTCATTTTTGTTATTTTTGTATGGTTCTTTTTGGCAGGGCCAGAGGTATTATGTCCATGTTTCAGCATACAACATGAGAGGATGGGGACCTCCACGCAAATCTACTCCTGAATATGCTTCTCCTTCAAGTAGGTTGAGTTTGTCTGCCCTCCTAGTTTGATTAGTGATGTTGATTTGTAAAAATGCTCTGTCTTCAAATAACAGAAAAAGACAAATATTCCAGAGTGGATGATTTAAATGCTGCCTAGGAGTGAAATAAATAAATAAATAAAACTCAACTCCTCCCACTCCTGAGAAATAACCACAATAATCATCTCTGTATATTTACATGTCTTTTCTGCTAGTCTTCTCCAGTCCTTTGACAGAATACTGTCATCTAGTCACTAATGCTTAAGAAAAAATGAGAAATATTTTAACCTTCATTTCTCTTAATAGAGTTCTGCTATATGGAACCTCATTTCTCAGTCCATGAATGGATCAAAAGGTGAACCAGAACTCGTAGAAGCAAAACACAAGTATCATATGTAATTTTGTATTCTGCTTTGTAGCATTGTAGATCCCATTCACTGGACCATTCCTATAGCATCCTGTGTATAATACGCCCTAGTGTGGACACACATGTTGATAGAATCTAGCCTGTATACACTGAAATGGTCTAGACATGTCCAAAAGCCTTTCTCTCTTTTCAAACCCGTGACAGGTTTTCTCAGACTCCATTAGGACTGTGATTTTTCATTTGTAATTTTTAATCTATTATAATGACATTGTATTGTTGGTTGCTTTTCCAGACTTGTGTTCACTGCCAAACTGGCTCAGCATATGACAGCTTCCCTTGTATTGATAATGCAGTAAAGTGGGACTTCTCATTTTATTGCATTAGCACTTATTTTTATTAGGCTAACATAACAATTTAATAACCTTGCATGCTAATGTGAAGAAATAAAGCAAGCTGTACCTATTCATAATGGCAAAGGCTGGATAAATGAGGCTCTTGCAGTACCATTGAAGCATCTTGCTTCAATTTTGCTCTTGTTTATCACAGAATAAAACCAGAACAAGACTAAAGAAATATTTTGTTTGGGAACAAAAATGTGCTACAATCTTGGGACAAAATTCTGCTCTTGGCTACATGGATAACTCACTACTTCAGAGTTGGTTTGAATAACAGTGACATGCAATTACCTTGATTATAGGCAGGTATATCTGTACAGGATTGGGCCCCCCAGCCCAAACATTTACAGCAGCTGAGAAGCAGAATTCTGCAGTAGCTGGTAGTTATTCAGCTAAACATCCCCAAAGCACTGGGCACCCCTGGCAAAGCAGGTGGCATTTAAGGCTGTATCTTTGTATGAGACACACTTTTGATTGAACATGACGCATTGTCTTCCCTGTCTATTTCTTGTCCACTGTTATTAACCTGAAATCTGACCATACATGCCAGTTCCAAAGCCTTGGGATGCAGGGGAAGTTCTCCTGCAGATTTCAGTGGATTAACACAAAACTGTACAGAGAATTGAGCTCATTTCCCATGTTTTGTGTCTCAGGGACTCTGAAGTGCCTGGGATAATCACTCTGGGGGTGTTTCTCTGAAAGGTAACAAGTCTTTTGGACTTCCCTGTAGGAAAGCAGGAGCATCATTTGATATATATGTGATTTTTATGAGTTTATGGCAAAGAGAAATGTTTATTCATGGTTACATATGTATGTTTTCTTTGTTGATGAACACAGAAGCATTAGGCAGACTTAGCTCACTGCATATAGATAGTTGGCAAGAAAAGGGTATTTTCATTACGTATCCTTAGCAGCTTAAGCTTCACAGCAAGAGAGACCCTCACAGCTTAAATGTAAATGCTTTCATTAAGTAATAATATCAGAATTGTAGCTTGAAAGGCAAGATGCTGTTTACCACTGCAGTTACTGGGGGCAGAACTGCTTTACCCATGACTGCCTTCACCACTGGTTTTGAAAACTAGCAGACTTGTGCTTGGCAAGCAGGCAGCAACTTGAAATTACACCAGTGTTGCATAACAAAATATGGCCTTAAGCTAAAAATTAAATGTGAATACATTAATACTCTACAAAGCTGTCTGTAACGGCAGCCAGAAGAATATGCAAGGGAAATTAAAGCCTCAGGCCTTAATCCTGATCTATTCCAATCCCAGAGCATCAAAGTGACATCCTTGTAGATTCATCTGTGTAGCATGACAGTCAATGCTTGCCACTGTCCTCCCATCTCTTCCACATACACAGTAGCCTGGAAAGTGGTGGCCAGTGTTGTGCAGCTGGTCTGTGAAATCACAGCAGGCACTAACATTTCTAGGCTTATTCACTAGCATATGAGTGGTGGGCAGTGAGGGATGCTGGTCTGACTTCTATGTCATGTTTAAAGGTGTCAGCAGTCTGGGGTATCAGAAACGTTGGAAACCTCTGGAACAGAGAAATCATGAGGTTGTTCAAAACTCTACCGGCCTGATGACACCAAAGTACTTTGGGGTTGGCTGCTCACAGGGGATCTAAGAACTGGTATCCCCACACAGAGCTATAAATGCAGTCAGCCCTTGATCTCTGCAATAGCATACAACATGCAGGAGAGCCTCTCTGCAGCTATTAAAACTGCCCACAGGCTATCAGGATAGCAAATGTCTTCTCTTTCCACCCTTTCATGGGGCTTACTCTAGCTGCTCTATTAAATGGCAGCAAATACATATTTATATCCCTGGCATAGTGAGTCTATTGGAAGGAATGCTTGACTCCAAACTTGCACTAGAAACTAGATCTGTATATTTAGTGAGTGAGCAAACTGTTGGTGGCTGTGAATACACACACAGCCTCTATGCCAGCAAGATGGAAACATGTCTCCCTTGCAGACAGATCTCTTAATACCTTGATCCACCATTACTTTGGGTCAGGAAACCAGTGCAATGCTTTCTTCTTATAATAAGGAAAGTATGAAAATAAGCGAGTCTGGAATTACAAAGCTCCTCTCTAATACACACAGCTTCATCCTCCTATTTGTGAGGAGGTTGTTTGCTTTTTAAAATGAAGATTGTGATTGTAGCAAGCAGCACATGAGTGAAAACAAAGCCTTTTGTAGGTTGGAGGTATGTGGGACAGAAATCGCAGCTTCTTGCCTCACGAGTGCAGTGCTGAGCAGAGCGTGTGCTCCAGGGCAGGAATCGCCAGCGTTTGTTCAAGCATCTGCTGAGAGCAGGTTTTCAGAAGTGATTTCACTCAGAGCATGTTTCTCTGGCTGCAGAACTAGCTCTGGATGTAGGAAGATGCTCTTTCTCTGCTCTGCAATCAGTTTCCTATATAACTGTAGAAGAGTCATTCAGCCTCCTGGGGTGTCTCAAGCGGAAGAGCAGCAGTGTGATCTTAGTGAGGTACCAAGAGTGTCGGTGCGGTATGGGCTGAGAGCAGCTCTGGCCCTGCAGCAACAGAGGCCACTTATGTACTGAAGAGAAATAGCCATTGTCTAGTCAGTCACTAGAGGAGCTTCTAGGGGCTGATTGTGAGCTCTTTGTTAATAATCATTATGATTAATTACCCAACTGGCACAAGGCAAAGGAAGTTGATCGTCCAAGTAACAACAGCAAACTTACAAACAACTGCCACTTTTTCCTGCATGCCCAGATGTAAAAATCCTCTAAAGCCAGGAAGTATCAGAGGCATGAAAATGTTTTAAAACCTTCTCCTGCACCTTTGTGCTTCATTTCTGTTTATTTCCTTTGTTCAACAGACTGGAAAGACTGCAGTGGAAGAGAACCTCGGCACAGGGGACACACTGAGGCCCTGGAACGCCTCCTTCAGCAGGTTCGAGCAGCTCATCAGCATTATAATTGCAGAGGTAAGGATGAATATCTATGTGGTAGGGCACCAGCTGAAGCCTCTGCGGCGCCTGTAATTTTAGCAGTTTTCTAACTAGGTCATACCTTCTCATTCATCAGGAAAAGAAAGATATTAATATTGGCCCATCTGGAATCACTTTAGTGCACTATCTTGCTCTTAACCCTTGAAATTAGTTGGACGAAAACATCCGAAAGCTACAAATGCACGCAAGCACAGGCACAGCCTTTCTCCCTCTGTACTCTACACACCTCTTGGTTTGGGGTTTTTCCTACACATTAGTTTCACACCACATTTCACCACAGTGTTTCAAGGATCTCCCTCATTTTTTCATATAAAGAAATACTTTTGAGACTTAACAACTGTTTTGGATCAAAAGCGGGGACTTGGCTGCCTCCAAATGGAAGACACTAAATACTCCAACGGATGTGATGCCAATGAAAAATACTTGCACAATGCAGTGGGAAGATAAGATTGCTACGTTTTCAAATAGAATGGATCAAAACTAGGAGAGAGTTCGAATCTCAGCCAGCTTTTTGCTCTTCATTCATGAGAAACAGACTGTGCCTTTAACAGCTCACGAGCCAAGACAACAGCTTGGCATTCTTTTTAAAGCATATATAAAAACTCCTCTTCTATATGGGTTGTTGAAAAGTACTATTTATTTTCTTAGAATAAACTTCTAACTGGAATAATGCTTCATTGCAAAGGAACTTATTTGAAACTGAAAAGCTGAACTACCATGAAGTTTTCATTTTTCTTCCCACACTATGACTGTTATGTCAAGCTGCACCAAGTGATTTAAAACTATAGAAATACTTAGGGCTAAAATCATCTGGCTGAAACAGAAAGATGCAGGTTTTGTTCTTTACGTGCAAATACGTCACTATCACGACGATCCACGGTCTGCAACAACCCACTGTAACCATAGCAACTTAAAGTATTCAGCTGTGTTGCTTGGAAAGGGAAAGGAGGTACTGCAAGAAAATGTTGTTTCTCTAATTAAAATTCATACAAGCATTATCACTTGCAGGTGGCCTTGCTACTGAAAATACAGATGATGTATTCCATCTCTTACATAGTTCTTCATGCATTAAAGGAGTCTTTTTTCCCATGGTACAGTTTTCCCTTTCTGAAGTTTGTGCACATCTCAGGTCTTTCAGGTCACCTTCCTCGTAAACAGGGAAAAAGTGATGGAATACCAGAAAATAGTATAAATTGGTTTACTGACATAGCAGAACAGCAGCAGTTACATACAACATGCAGAAAAGCCTTTCTTTTGAGAATCTGACACCAGTGCCTGGTTCTTATAAAATCCCACTGCTCCAGAAATCAACCCCAGTCTCAAAGCAAAGCACAGACAACTCTGTTGTTGATTTCCTAACTCCCTTTCCTTAAATAATAAATAACAACAATATAGAAAATCTGTTTTGCTCAGAACGTTTTCTTGCATGTCTGAAGGAGGATGTGGGAGCTTACATATGGCAGTGCTACACTGGGGAGTCAGCCTGAGCAACGCCCTTGCCTCCAACCAAGTAAAATCTCATAATTGCTTGTAATGCTAGCATTACACAGTAGTATATTTTGGATAAATCAGGATTGTAATATAATAGAAGAGCCTTTGGAACTTGCCTTAAATATATGACTGATGCCAATCCCCTGTATTTCAGTAATTTGGTAAAGAATCAAGACAAAGAGTGTGCAGAAAATTAAGAATTATGACACCACTTTGACTCTGAAATTTGATTCTGGTGAATCTCAGTGAAATCTGAGGACTTTAATCAAGGATCTCAGATAAGCTACTGTATATGTCTGACAGACCCAAATAATGGCTTTCACTCCATATAATAGAGAGGCCTGAGATGCATTCTTCATTAACGTGAATTAGCATGATTCAGCTGACAGGGATAGCAGTCAGCATGGATATGCTGTGATACACAAGCTGAGAACCTGCCCAGGCATTTATCCCTTCCTTACCATTCTTCTCTTTACCTCTCTCTTCTTTGACTAGACATTAATATTCTAACCTCTGATTTCTACAGTTGTTTTAGAGATGTAAATAGCTGGACATTGTTTGTAGGGTATCCCTAAATCTGCTTACAGCCACTGATTTGCTGTGGCTTATAAATAAGAGCAGAATCAGCTCTGCATGAATAAAAGCCAGGTGAAGATGGAGATAGGACTCAAACCTGGTGTCCTGGCACCTTGGTTTTTCACTAAGTGATTACTCTGCAAGGTACCACGCTTATGGTGTTCAGGCTGGTTGAAGGAGCGTGGAGGGTGAATGCAAGGGATTGTGATAAAAAATGAGGGTAAAAGATCTGAAATTACTTGGATAAGACAGGCAAAAGCCTTAGAACACAGAGGAGCTGGAGAAGCCAGGCTGTGCGCTAGAGCTCCAGTGTGACCTGGGAGGGGTGAATTGCCCAGATTCCAGGCAGATCCCTTGCCCAAGTCTGCTCATTCGGGCTTCACACTGCAGCCTGCCTTTTGCCCTCTGCTTTGCATTGCAGCGGCTAGAGAAAACAAGCTTACAAAAATGCCAGGAAGAATACATTGGAATGTACAGTGAGTTTAAGAGCTTTTGGAATTAGATCAGCTGTTGCTTTTGAACCTGCTCTGTGATATGATGAAATCTCCTAGGGAATTACTTAGGAAGCTTTGCTTTCATATGTTTAATCTTCTGGAAAACCCTGATGATTACAAACAACAGTCATCCATTTGTCTTCATAATACCATGCTACAGACTATGATAACTGAGTTACTACAATTGTATGTCCTGGCAACACTTCAAATGTATTTTTTAAGTATTATTTTCTTGTCATCATTCTTCCTAAACAATTCTGAGTGGATTAAGCAATTGTGTGATGCTTCATTAAGAAAGGAACCCAACTCTTCAGTAAAATGCTTACCAGATATTTTCCTTCTGAAATTTGGTTGAAATGTATTTTACTAGACAAGTCAGAGCTGAAATAAAAATATTCTAATCATAATTTGGTCCACAAGCAGGGCACATAGGTTTATTGCATTTAACAAAGAGAAGGCTCTTTGATTGCACCAGGCATTTAAAGAGTTTAGATTACAATTATTTGTGAGAAAAGATAAAATCAGGCTTGAGAACCAAGCCATAGACTGGGAAGTTCAGGTAGGGAATTAGAAAAGGTACAATTTCAGCTCTTGTGCTTGGCTTTGTAATCCAAAATATACCTCTCAATGGTATGACTGTCATGCTAAGAGCTGCTCATAACATACAGAATTGTCTTGTGAAAGACATCTCACCTTGAGGTGAGGTAAAACAGAATCTGTCATGGTCTCGAGCTATTTAGGTGTCTGGCCACTACTTATGCCTTTAACTTCTGTGTGGAATTATGTCTCCATGCGTATTATCCCAGCGTCAGTTGTCTGCACTGCTAAAAATGTGCAGTGTTAAATTGAGTTTGAATTCATCTGGAAGTTTCCAGCTATTGGATGTATTTTCATAAGGTTACACCATTAGTGAAAACTCTAAACCCCATTTTATGCCCTCCACCAGGGTTTCAGTGGGATCTAGCTCATTTTGTGCTAATTTACTTCCTCATTCAGGGTCACCCTAAATGATATTTAGCTGTTCCACATGCCCTCTGATTTGTGGGGCTGAGATCTCAGATGATTTTGCACTGAGGTAATTCCATTTCCATACACTTCACATCTGCCCCACTTGAGGAGAGGCACCCGCTTGTCTAGTGATAGGACAAAGAATTCCAGATGATCTTCCTCCTCAGAGAAATGGCACGGCATAACAGACATTCCTCTAGAGCAGAGATCCCAGATGCATGCTGGCAGCCTGAGCAGGCAATGTCGTTCTTACTCTTCCACAGCCAACTTATGTTCTTTTAAGTATCTTCTGTATTGAAGTGCACTGCAAAGAAGCATTTCTATTTTCTACCTGAAAGAGAAAACCTGCTAATGCTGTAGTTAACTGCCTGTTTTACTCCAGCTTTGAATGCTTCTGATCTAAATCTAATCACTGGAAATTCTCCGATCTCAGCCACTATCTATTCGCTCCTGAGCATCTATTAAAAGAGCTCACAGCTCTATTGCTGTATCATTTATTAATGTTGTTACTGGTGCCTTTCTATAAAGGTTACTCTATGTTATTTATTACTTAATTAAATAACAGACAGAGTTCTATTTCCTGTAGATCCAAATTATCTTCTAATCTCAGCTCCATGGTTTTTGGCTTCTAGACAGACTATACTGTAAAACAAGCAAATAGCAATGTAGGAGTTTACAGTCTCCATCTAGTTTTACACTATTTCTTTTGCTGTTGGCTTCTGCAAAGCTGTGGACTGAACCCAAACCACTGAACAGCCCAATAACATATACTTCACTTGTAATGTGCCCTCTTATTTTAATGCTGCACTCTCTGGGTGCTTTATATAGAATTATGTTGCTTTGCCTTCAGCTATTTCCTCCTCCATTCCCTCCATAGAGATGGAGGCAATAGAGAAGAAAATAAAAACTGCATAATGAGAATGAAATTTATATTCCTAAATTGGTCTTAACCTTGGAAGAAGGAAGCAGCAAGACAGGAGGTCTCATGTACCATTTGGTTTCCATTACTGTGATATACCGAAAAAAGGTCACAGTAAAATAGAAATTATCTCAGGAGATATGGATAGAAAAACAAATGGAATTTTTTTAAAGGAAAAGAAAGCAAAGATCAGTTGCATCAAAGGAGCAGTCATGGCTTTGGATGAGTCTGTTAAACCTAAACTGAACAGCACAGTGGAGAATATGCCACGGAGAACAAGTTTGCACTGGAAACACAATGGATTTGATGATCTAATAAGTCTCATACATCGTGCATGAGTTCACCCCCAATAGAACCTTGTTCTCTTTGTACGTACTGTTCAGGAAAGTGGTAATTATTGCTAACAATGTGTCTTCTTTCTGTGGTTTTCAATGTGAAAATTACAGTGCAAATTTATGCATCATTTAAAATATGTTGAGCACTTCCACAGATGGGGTTTTGACAATAGCACATTTAGATGTTCTTTAAATGTTCAAACTTAGAACTCACTCGGGAGACACAGACAGACACCTCCTATTCTGCACTGAAGATAAGTGGGAAATATGTTACTCTGAAAGCACCTAAGCAGACTGATCAGCAGCTTTCAGCAAATGGTTCTTCATGGGATGTATTTTTTCCCCACTGGAGAAGGGTGTCCCTCAACACGTTTCCCACTTCAGGCTCGATGGGTACCCGTGCTTCATCCAAACCAAGTCAGATCCTGGGAAACGGTTTCATTTTTCTTTTTGTCTTTCTTTTCAGATTACAGTAAATATCTGAAGAATTAATTCCTATTTTAAATCAAATGTTTCCTCTGGTTCTCTTACAACAGCATTAGACAGGAGAGACATTGCAAAAGACAATGCAAAAGAATCCCAAACAGTTTTAAGCACCCATTCCTTTTAAATGCCATAAGTGGACAACAACTGACAATACATTTTGCAGTACACAATCCTGCATGTTCCTGACTGCCATCTATTGGCATCCCCTCCAAAATCTGAGCACAGGTACACAGGTGGACACGGCTGCTCCACAGAGCTTGGGAGTTCCAGTTCCCACTGGGAGATTTTTCCTTGGCTTACAAGGAAACCCAGGCCATGCGTGAGAGAACAAAAGACTTTAAGTTAAATTCATCAAAGTGAAAAATAACACCATGTATAAAAAATTAACCACATTTTCTACAATATTAGGCAAAAGATTTGACTTTATAAAATTCTTATGTTAAGAGAGCTGGTCCAGAGGTCCTTGCAGGCACATAGCAGGTCTCAGCTTTACAAGAATTGGGCAAATGAGTTAAACACCTCTTCCTTGGATCCCAGATGACTAGGGAGCAAATGTAACCATAAAAGCTCTGGAACAATACATGTGAGTGGAAGCTGTTGTGATGGGGGGAAATACCAAGCAACAGCACATGCACTTAATGTGATACAGAGGAAGATGAGGGTCTATCTAGTTGTTTCCTTAAAGCTCTCACTCAGGTCACTTTGATGATGTGCTATTACTGACTGCCACTCATTCAGTTCTTAGAAGCTTAAGTTATGTATGGACAGAAACTAAGGAATTACAACACCCTAAAATGCTGACTGATGGTTCGAATATCTTCCTGGGTTTTTGAGACCACTTGCAGAACTCATATCCATTCTGAACATTAACAGCATGCAGTTCTGGTTCAAGCTGTATTTTTGCCAAGACCAAGTTTGCTGCAAGTAAGAAACTTACTTATTGTTACGTATCACTGACATACTGAAAATATAAGCAAAAGGTTGTATTTGAGCATGTTTCTAAATGTTGTCTTTTGAAGGGAATACAGTGGGCCCTGACTGAAATTTAGTGTTGTGGTTCAACAGACAAGGGCTCTTTATGAGACACTAACTGGAACTAAAGTGCTGGGTTTGTTTTGCTTTTTATTTTCCATTTTAGAAAGCTCTAAACTACAGAATGCTGGTCGCAAGCAATCTGTTTCCAGAAGCTTGAAGCACCTTTTCCATTCATCAAACAAGTTTGTGAAGACTCTGAAACGGTTTGTCATTTATTTTATCTCCCAAACATATCAAGTTTTAGCTAGCAGTTGCTGCTCTTACAGCGAAAAGCACCTTAGAAATGTATGTGAATATTCCACTGGCAATGAAACAGCAATTGATCAGAATGAAACTGATAAGCACATGTAAGACTGGTGTAGCTCATAGGAAAATATGCTCCAGGTTCTACTGAAATCAACAGAATCTTTTTATTATTACTGTTGGAAATGGATTTGAATTGTACCAGAGTGAAATATTCTGCTCAAACACAAGTGCAGTTTCTGAGGTATTTTGGAAGCACTGCTGCTGCTGCTGCTGCTGCTGCTGAGTAATGAAACTATGGTATTTATTTCATTTATAATACAAAATGCAGAGCTCAGGTAACATGTTTTAATAGTCCACTGGCAACAAGCAACACATCTAGAATCCTCCAACATCTTTAGCTAGGTTTGCAACCCAGTGTGACCCAAACAACCCTCAGCCGTGATGATTTGGTTTAGCACACGGAAGCTGCTTATGCTGGATTATTTCTTTTTTCATTGCCAGGAGTGTGCTTTTTCTTCTTTGTATTTTGATAAGAGTTTGATTCTTTCAGAAGAGCTCTCCAGAGCCTTTAAATTCCCTAAGGCAGCTACTTAACGTATGTAACTAATTGCAAGGGTAAATATTGAAAGGAATGATCTCTATAAACAGTTTTGAGATATGCTGGCCAAATTACACTCAATTACACTAATGTAAATCCATAATAACCCACCTGATTTCAATTGAGTTACTTTAGATTTACTGTGAAGCAAAGGAGGGCAGAACTAAGCCCATTAATGATAAAAAGTTTAAGTAAAATTTCTGATTTGTAAGGGGCATAAAGCCTCTATTGTGTACTGTTTATGCTGGCAAAATCCTTACTGAAGCTGATGTCAGTGGCTTGCACAGATTCATAATTTCTTAGATTCCTGTAGTCTCACATCACCTAACGTGATAAGCTTCCCAAATGGGTTTCAGAATTCACTTGCTGAAGTTGCATACGGACGTTAAGACCAGATGATTGTATTTGTCTTCTCGGAACTTAACATCTATGATACTTTGACTGAAATTTGGCATGGATGTGAATAAACATGAAAGGTGTTTGATAATAATTGTTTCCTTCTTTCTTCAGGGGACTCTACTTAGCTGTTATATTTTTTTACAAGGACAATTTATTAGTAACCAATGAAGATCAAATCCCAATTGTGGAAATTGATGACTCCCACAGTAGCTCAGTTATGCAGGATTTCCTGTGGTTCACAAAGGTAAGAGGAGCCTAATTTCATGTATTGCTTCTACCAATTTGTTGCTGGTAATGCACAGGCGTTAGCTCATCATTCTAATATATGAAATGATGTCATTAAAAAGATAACAAACCATTTATATGGGTTAAATTCTGACTGGGTCACTGGCAGTGGCACAATTAACTCTTATATGTAGGAGCCTACACAAGTGATGGCTACTTAGGTACATAAAGGGTTTACGGACATTTAGAGGAAAAGCCTAAAGAAATAACTAGAAAATTTAAAGTTGGTATTACATTTATGCCATCATTCAAAATATCTTTACACTATTTCTCATAGGGCAAAACCCAGTAAATCAGTTTTACACATTAGGCCAAAAAGTAACTGAAATAGGCGCATGATGGTTGCAGAACAACTTCTGTGTCTGATTCACTCTGTTTCATGTTTATCTAGGCAAGTCACTGCCTCCCGCCGACACTCAAAATGAGCAATAGCTACTGGTTTTTCCAAGTCCAAAATGCTTTTAGTTTCATTTCTGCTTTTGTAAAATGCTGAGAACAAAACCTCATTGAACTGGGTATATTTTTGCAGTTGTCTTGCATGTGGGATGATATCAGATGGCTAAGGCAGAATATGTCTATATCCGTGTCCTCATCAACAGCGCTTCAAGCCAGGCAAAAGATGCTTTCAGCAGCAGCACAGCTACAGGTTGGTTGCTTCGCATATTTCTTGATTCACCCATGCCTTACAAACTGCTCAAGTATAGCTTCTGGGGCAGAACATCACTGTTTGACCAACAGGATGGCTATGCTTTTGTGGATTGTCAGCAGGGAAGTTAAATTCAGTCTTTCATTGAGTTCCTAACTGAGCTGCAGACTTATTTAAGGTGAAATATACCTTTGTGCAGAGAACCAGCAGAGACCTGTTTAACCCTTAAAAACAGAGATTAGAGAGATTCAGTGGTGCACAGGTCCTGTGCTGACCCCTCAGCACAGTGGTAAGGGCAGAAACACTGTGTGCACTATTCATATCACATTGTCAAGGCACAGCACTGACCATCAGGATGGTTCTGTTCCAATCTGTGCTACAAACTGAGCGGTACTGAACAGGTCACTTAATCCTTCTGTGTCTCAGTCCACTATTCCATATGCAAATAATAATGGCACTCTCTCCAGCAGAACATTTCGACATGTATTATAAGGCTTTTGAAGAATGGGTTTCATGATAAGCTGAAATCTCGTGAGGTTTTTACTTTTGTGAGAAGATTCATTTTCAAAAAGATGCGTGCATAAATCTCATAGGAAAAGTATATCCAGGGCCTGCTTTCTCCTACCTTTTGTTTGAATGAAGTCACCAAAGCTTCCCAGAAAAATCTATGGTACAGTCATGGAACTAATGAAGACCTTGATATTGCTTGACTCATGTATTAGCCACACAACCATCCCTCTTGTTATTGCCAGCCAATGCAATAAGCTGGTTTTACAGCACTATGAAACCCAGATACTTTGTGACCATTATTAAGAATATCCATGTGGGGTTTGTTTTACATCTTTTGGCAAAGCCTGCTGTACAGGAGAGTAGCCTTCATGGGCAACCACCTGTCTGGACTGATTTCCCCAAAGTATCCCGAAATATCTGGAATGCCAGTCTGCTGTACCTTTATTGGAGGACCACCTGTGTTAAGCAGCAGCTGCTTGTCAGTCCTTTGAGCTGTCACTAGAGAAAGTTTTAACTATATCTGCTGAATGTTCCCTCTGGTGTGGTTAGCTCAGCTTAGGTAGCACAAGCTCTTTTGGTTAGCTCAGTTTCATTCCCCCTGTGCTGATTGCCTTTAACTGAGCATTGCTAGGATGCACTTGGAGATAACCAAGGTTTCTAGTACATTGTGTTATTATTTGCTACCAGAGATGTTAAGAGCAGCACTCGAAGCACAGAGATACAGCAAATGTGTCCATGTGGTATATTGCTCTGTTGACTCTCTGGCAAATTTATCGTCCTTAACGTTTGTTCTGTTAGCTTTGTCCCCTGATGAGCACAGGGATTGTCACCGGCCTGCCAGCCTCTAACGGTGTGTGGCCTAGTGGGATCCACCAATGGAAAGATCTCAATAAAGTTTATATGGTTGAATACATTTTATTGAGGCAGTTAATAGACTGGCTCTGCAGGAATTCAGGACAGAATGGAAAAGATCAGTGACAACACAGCTGCTAAGGGACCAGATCAGCAGATTCAGAGACAACAGGGACAGTAATTTTGCCTGTTGTTACTACTAGACAACTAAAGCAAACAAAACACAAGTGGTGGGGTGCCAGGCTGAGCAGAGTATATGAATTTTCAGTATATGAATTAGTCACATATTCTTATTAGTAAGTGCTTCCATTCTCTGTGCTGCAACACCATTCAGAATATACAGTCAGTGACAGTAAAGAACTGTTTGTTTTCACCTAGGCACATTCGTATGTTGCAGTGATTCATCTGACAACTGGATGGCTAACATCTACCTGCATGGTCTGTCCCACCTGCAGGCACATGGATTGAAACAAAATGTATATTCAAGACACCCAGTGTTAATCAGTTACTGGGGCTATCCTCAAAAGGCAGAACAGTTAAAAAGAAGAGGGGAGGTGCCATACAGACATCAACAGTATGCCCTGGAGAGGGATGCATAAAGCTAAAATAACTAAGTTACGTATGCCACGTAAAGGGCAGTCACTGTGCTGGCTACCTAGAGTTTATAAGCAATTTAATAATACAGTTTATAAGTAAATATTGCCTGCTAAGTACAGATAAATAATTTCAGGATAATCTACCCATTTACAATGTCATTAAGTTAATGTACAGCACTTCCCTAAACATACAATGTGCTACATTGTGAATTCAAGTTCTCATTTTAAACTACCCCCCTACCTACCCAGCTTACTGTAGATCTCTTGAAAAGTCACAAAGTAACGAGCATATTTTAAATGTCAGGCATTTTTCTTTAAGACATCTGGGAATCTCTTCAGTGGCTGGTCAGTGGATTGAGTGTGTTTGCACCTATGAGCAGATGCCTTACTGTGTGAGGAAAGGGATTTTGACCAAAATATGTATTTTATGTGGAGCCTTTTAAAATTACTTTTCTTTAATCCTCACATATTTTCCTGGAGAGCTTTGCCCTGGGAGTTTGTTAGTTTCTGCTGGTTTTGTCTAGCACATTCTTGGTATCTGAAGTAAAAGGGCCCACGTCTCTTCAAATTCTTCTGTGTTCCTTCAGAAACGCACTCCACAGTTTAGCTCCAAATTATTTACATTCAACACGGATATGAGGGCCTCTCACTTCTGTTGCTGAAAATAATCTGAATAATTTTAAAACAGAGACCAGAGAATGGAGATTACAATTAGAAAACCCTTGGAAGTGTCCATTATGAATGAATCAGGGATAGACAAAGAATTTCATATCATCGCTGACACTTGGTTATGGGGAGGTGAAGATAAGCACCTAGCTCTTCAGTAAGTTCAAATCAGAAGGGCCTCATTGATACCAAAGGAGTCTCCACTAGACCAGCACTGAGTGCTTTTGGAAAGTGCACCCTTGATCTTTAGAAGACAGAATAAAAATAGGAAGTTCTGTCTAAGTAAGTGAATTACTTTGCAGTGTTTCCTTTTACAAAGGCGCTGGGTCATAATGGTCTTTCTGTTCTCCATTAAATGTTAGACTAAACACGGCTGAATCAAATGCGTCGGAGGATCCACAAGCACAACCTAGGGAAAAACTGTTCCTTTTGCCACTAAATGATATGATGTAGGGCAAGTGTTTGAGAAAGATTGTGTGTCTCGTTGTTACTGAAGTCACCAGGACTGATGTCAGTGAGCACAAAGTTACGTTTCAACATACACCACTCTCCTGCTATGTGACAAACAACTTTTGGTTTATGATGTGCTTGTTTTCTAGAATTTGCTGGGAACTCACAACCTAGGCAGAGTTTTTTACGAGCCAATCAAGGATCGACATGGCAATATGCTGATAGTGACTATAAGAGAAGTGGAGAGTCTTTATTCATTTTTCAATGGCAAATGGATGCAGGTATCCAAACTACAAAGCCAGAGGAAATCCCTCTCAACTCCAGAGGAGCCAACAGCATTAGACATCTTGCTTATAACAATCCAGGTAGTGCTTTGCTTCTCTTACTGTATGTTATTTGCTTTTGTAAAGCCTGCGCCAGAGCCCTGACTTTTGGAAGAGTCTTGTAGAATTTTAGGCCTTAATCCAGTGCCCAATAAAATTAATGGCAAGGCTCCCATTGAAAGCAAAGACTTATATTACTTCCAGTGGGTCTGGGATCAAATCCTTAACATGTAAAATATCCATGAGATTCTAAAGAAATTACTTCAAAGTCCTAACACAGAATAGTAGTTTCTATCAGTTTCGGGAAACCATGCTACAGAATTCACAGCAAGGGATATAAAAACCTTTAAAATTCTCTGGGATGGTTTTAAGCACCTATACAGACACTTAAAATTTCTACACTCCATAAGATTTTTCCATCCAACCTTGGACACTAAACCTGGGTTTAAAACCTTACTGTTCTACTTAATAAACTTGTTCTGTGGGGTTCAGAGTTCCTTGGAGCCTGGTATAGCTGCTAAAGAATTCTTTACTGACCATAGCCCTCCTTTAATTTCTGTGTAACATGCTCCTACACTTCACAATTAGGAAAATAAAAGGTAAGGATTGATGCTAGAAGTCACTTTGCATAGTTAGTTTAGTTAACATCATTGAGAGCCATGAGCTTTCAGCCCTTCAAGAATCAGGGTTATTGGCAAACTCGTTAAACAGTAATGTTAAATACTAATACATGTTTTCTGTAGGGAATAACAACCTATGTCTCCCAAAGTGTCAGTAGCCAACTCTAAAACTCAGTTGCATGGTTACCCAAAATATTACAAGACAAATCACTTAGTCCCTACTTTAGCACCCTTGACTAGACGATGACTACTGTGGTTAGGTTTGAAATAGAGGCACTTTCTTGGGCAGAGACTGTGCTTTTTGCACCGGAAGCTGAGAGGCAATCAAAATACACATTACCAGCTTTTAGGAACATTAAAACATTTCCAAAAGACAATAAAACTTACCTGAGCAATGTTAGATTTAATGTATTAAAATGTGTTAAAGGTGTAGAAAAATGTCAATCTGGGCAGAAGTTTTATATTAGGAAACCCAAAATACAGGCCTGGTCACATTTCCACAGAGATCCTAGTGGAAAAAATGTTCCCCTGGTGGTTTACACATTCCTATCTAATGCCCACCCTTTCTTCTATTACTTGTTTAATCATCGAATGGGTATTTTGTTCATGAAGTGCTTGTGAAAATGAGGGTCTAATTGCATTGGTCAGAGCCAAGTACAGCACTGGCAGATAATTTGATGGTTCCAAGAGTAAAGGCATAAGGCCAGGTGTCTTAATCCTCACCCGCTGCAGAAGCACACATTTCTCAGGATGGCAGCAGACATCACTTTCAGGGTAGTTTTGGGAGACTGCTATACATAGCCTTAAAAGCATGTCCTGGCTTCAGCAAATCCTCCATCATTATTAATTCTTTCTAAGCTCTGTTTGTTGGTAAAGACATTTGTGCAGAAAACACAGCCGTTAATTAAAATTAGCAAACCACCAATGGCGGTGCTCAGTGAGATCTCCCTGTTGACAGCAGGTGACACAGAACAGGCAGGCTGGGACTCAAGGGATTTCTTTGGTGCCAGTACGGGCTTATACAGCTCCCTCTCTCCCACCTTCCCCAGGGGACAGCTTTGTCCCAGTGCTGCTCTACTCCATCTGTGCAGCTACGTGCCAAATGTGAACCAGGGAACGGCTCTGGCTGCTCCTTTTCTGAATTGTTTTTCAGCAGAATCAATTCCCTGACGCAGCTCACTGCAGAAATGACCAGGCAGGAGTGCAGAAATGGGTGCTCTATTTAAGCTAGTTTAAATACTACTGTTGTGGAAGATTGAAACCTCAGGTTTTAGACCCAATTCCTACATGACATTGAGAGCTTAGAGAACTTGTGTATGACTTTAAGTTGTCCAAGTGCATCCAAACTACCAGAGATTATTTATATGCTTAAGCACATGCTTAAGTGCTGTGTGAATTGGGAACACTTGAAACAAAAAGATGGCTGTAAAAACATTTGTTGCTTTTTATCCCAAAGACTTCCCCTTATGTGGAAAAAAGATGAGATTTTTATGTAGGACTGTTTCTCTTCAAACAGGACATACTCACCTATCACAAACGAAGTCAGCAGCGCCTCCCTCCCGGCTTGTACCTGGGTTACCTTAAACTCTGCAGTTCTGTGGATCAAATCAAAGTGCTCGTGTTGCAGAAGTTGCCTAATGTCCTGTGTCATGTTAAAATCCGAGACAACAGCAATGTCTCCAGGTAAGTGAATACATACATACTTATACAGACATATACATATACAGAACATTTGTTTCAAGTTTAAAACAACTGATCAAATTTAAACACTAAGGCAATTTTACCATTGCAAAATTGTAGGTGCCATCAAAGTCTGGCTCAGGTGTGTACCAGCACAGACATCACCACCGAGCTAAGGTGGACCTGTGTGTTTCCAGCAGTCTGAAGGCCTATCCAGAACACATCCAGATGAGCCCATTGGTTTCTAGGAATAGCATTATGTTGTTCGCTCAAACTCCACACAGTGGTAATGATCTTCCATATATCTGCTAGGAAGATCATAGCCTGCATCCCGGATTCAGGCTCCTGTGAATTCAATGTCATCCTTTTTCCTGATTTCTCCTCACCATGGGGTGTTGGTGGTGATTTTTCTGTTTATTTCCTTGTGTAATACCTGGTTTCTCTAATCCACGGCAAACATACATCAATTCTAAACACATATTCAGACAAATACTATCAGCCACTGAACTTCTGTACTCTGGAAAGGCCATTTTTCCCTTTGTCCATTGCTTCCCTTTTCGACTGGGCAAGTGCACTTACTTGTACTGCCTGGTCCTTGCCTAGTGGGCAACGTATTTTATTCGCTTCCTTCTGGAGCTTTTTAATCCCTTATCATTTCAGCAACCAGCTGATAATTTTGCACAGGGAAAGGAACCGGCTATCTGCATGCACAACAAGGATATCCAGAATGTAGTAGTTAATATTAACAAACATTTTGGAAGGTATATAAAGCCAAGTGCTTCAGAGTTTATACCAATCTCTGACTCTTGAAGTTTAAGATCAGATCTTTATTTAGGAGCAAACTGTACCACATCTATTACTCATCTACTAGTGGGGTTTCCTGTACTTTTTTCTCTTGAATGTTTGCTGCTGGCTGCTTTTCAAGACTGAATACTGGGCAGAGTGCATTAAGGAATTGATCCAGAAAGATGATTCCCATGTTTATCAGGTCTAAAATGGATATATGTCAAGCAAACCAGGAAGTTCTTTGGCTCCAGTGAGTGGAAGAGAGTCTGCCACAGAAATGAAACTTCCTGCTAATTGTCACTGTTGTCATTTCCAATGCATGCTTTTGAAAACGTTGTGGTAGATAGGAATGAAGTATGTGAAACAGAAATCCTGGAGTGAGAAGCCTTGGTGAAATCTTTTAAAGGCACTTGGATTTTCAGGGTTGCAAGGAATGTTCAGCTTGATGTACATGTGCTAGAAAAATCACACGTCTCAAAGTCAGACTGTTAACCACAAACAATCAGGGCTGCACAAGTTTAGAATGTTTTGCTATATGAGGATTAAACTATCAACAGATCCCAAATGCACATACACTGAATTCCTGCTTGTGCACTGAACTTTTGTTGTATTTCTAATTTTAACTTGACTCAACATACAGAGATGAGTGGGAATGGATCCAAACACTTTCTGGCTCAGAATCTGTGGAAAGTATGGATCATACTTCAGACTGCCCTACTCAATTGTTCTTGTATGAGCTCCAGATGGCAGTGAAAGCTCTCCTTAAACAGATCAATCTACCTCTGCATCAGGTATTTTCCTCTGTGGTATTTATCACCTTCTTAAAAACTGATTCTTAAGCACACAACTAAAAGCTACAAACTGTGTAACTTGCAAGCAGGGATTAAATGATATGGTTGCAAGAAAAGAAAAGCAGAGAAGTTCTGTATTCCATTGTTCCAAGGGGAAGGGGGTGAGAAGAACATCTTCAATAAACCCGTTATTTTCCTGGATATCTGAACATACGAGGATTAAGAAACAATTTTCAATTAGCTCCTATTTTTTGCATCTGCTAGCATTTGTGCAACTCGAGGCAGGTGCAAAGAGGCACTTTTGCATTAAACTAGTAGAGAGTGTGAGAGCCTTTACCCAGCTGGCAAAGAAAAACAGGCTATTTTTCCAGGCAAGCAGGGCAATAGACTGTTCTTCTGGAGGCAGCAGTGAAAGCATATGAAAAGCCTACTGAAGACACAGCATTTTGTCTTCTGGAGGCAACAGTGAGAGTGTATGAAAAACCTGCTGAAGACACAGCATTTTGCTATTCTTTTACACATAGACAAACGTAGCACTCCTAAATCACATAGCTCTACACCTCCAGATTGCTGTGGGTGAGGAGAGGTATCTGGCTTCTGGCTTTACATTTATGTACAAGAAATGTGCATGTGAATAAATAAAGTCAGGGGGGATAATCTATGATGTGAAAGATCCATGAAAAAATAAGCTAAAGAGTTTGTTTCTTGTTTACATGAATTCCATTTTATTTTGGTCTACATGGGTAAAGAGGGCTTAAAGAAGTAAATCATCTTTATATTCACTTCGAGGTCTGTTTGTGCAGCTAGAAAGATGTGGCCTTACAATAAATTAATCTGTGCCTACATTTCTTGATTTTGAAAGGTTTAGGATTTGCTTTTAAAAAGGAATCCATCAGTGCTGCACCTTCTAGCCTGGGAAGAGCCAAGTAAGACTCAAGTAAATCCAAAATTAAGACAGATGGTGTGCTGCCTTGTGGTCAGTCACTCTAATTCAATAGAGCTCTGTACAGGTCTCGAGGAGGGTGTATTTTCTTGGAGGTTATAGCTTTTGTGTATCTTTTTTTTTAACCTAGGAATGTGCAATATATTCCTTAGGCTGCAGCTCAGCCAAGCATTTAAGCTCATCTATTGTACACGAGAGATAGACGTAAACATGACCTTGCAGTTTAACAGTTGTAGATGTTTTGATGGCTCAAGACCAAACTCCTGTGTTAATTAATTCCATTTTTAATTTAACAGATTTATTTATGTATTTGTATTATTTTGGTGGTAACAGAACAATGGGCAGTGATGCTGGTGCATGCCCAGGCTAAAATGCAGTTCTGCACACAGCAGCTCTACAGCAGCCTCCGGCCAACTCCTGTGTGTGCCATTTTCTCTTGCTGCAGCACTTGTTAAACCTTTTCAGTGCTGTGTTGAGGGAGAGCTGCATATTTCTCCTAACCAACCCTAAATTGAATCTTAAAGGTTTTTAATTGAATCCATTTTCATGTTTTCACATAATTATGCAATCATAATCTTGAAAAGCACATGGCATGTGATCATTTTCTGCCTAATAAGAAACATAAATGTTGTTTTCAGGGGGGCTGTGCCTGTGTGTGTTGTTTTAATGTGGAACATTGCAGCTTTAAATCTTTATTTTATGTAGTGACATGAACCCACATTTAGCCTCCCCCCCCCCCCAAATATTTATGTTTTATAAAAATTCCGAGCTTGATGTTGTGCAAATTTTCTTTAATGTTTTATATCATTTGGGGTGTTGTTTATATAAGTGCCATGTTGTAATTCTCTCCTATTTCTTTCCCCGCGCGTGTCCCTCTACAGGCTAAGCACTTCCGTCTGTATACACAGGAGGTGTTGGAACTGGGTCACAATGTCTCCTTTCTTCTCCTGCTCCCCGCCTCAGACGACGTCTGCACTGCCCCAGGACAGAATAATCCTTACACCCCACACTCAGGATTTCTTAACCTCCCTCTTCAGATGTTTGAACTCGGTATAGTAGCTTGCTTCACCTAGAAATATTAACCCAGTCTTCTTATAATAAAATCACAAAGTTGTATCTGTTTTCCCCCTTGTCCCAGTGGAGAGTCAATAAATCACATGATGGCTTTGGCAACAACACTACCTATAACTGTGTACAAGTTATAGAGGGAGCAGAGCGGTTAAAGCATATACTGTAGCAATCGTTATTGAAATGCAAAGCATAGAGCAAAGCCCACAGTTATCCAGTATGTGTCTAGAAGCTTATTTGGAAGATGATGTGCTCTATAAAAACAGAACCAACAAAATTACACACAACACAGCAAGGCTGGAGTGTGAAAGGAGATGCAAAAAAGAATCCCTCTAAATTGTCACAAGAATCATCACTAGTTCTGTAGAGGAGAATTTATGCAGTTTCTGATTGCAGATAGTCTGACTATTTGCAAGGTCTGACTCCCTCACAGCTTTGTGAAAGGTGAGTGGAGTTTCCCATGTGAGGGTCATCATTTTTCCTTCTGATTCCTGGAAAAATGCAGAAGACAGTCCCATTGCAGTTATGGAAAATGCCAAAGCACTGGACTTGAATCTATTTCTTTAGGGAGCACATCCTGTGCTGCAGCAGATTCAGCCCTCTTGTATCACAGCCTTTCTGGCTGGGGAAGATTTCCCCAAAACAGAGTTTTCCAGCTGTCTCACAGGAGGCATATGATGCTTTAGCTTCAAGGTCCTCTAGTTCTCATTTCTTCTTGTTTGGTCCACAGAGAAAAGAAAGGTTCCACATAAAAGCAGCTCATAAAGACTTGATAGTTCTTCTTAGAAAGAATATTGTAAGTATGGGGACTGCTGAGCCTTACACATTAGTCTCCTCTGTTTCCTTCTGGCCTGTAAAACTGGATATCTTTCTTCCCTCTGCTGTGGGGAAGAGAAGAAAGATATAAGCCAAAACTGATGGAATCAGTACACACACAGCCGCTACAGAATACACCTCTAGCGACAACTGTGTCCTCACTGGTATCTCTCTCAGGTGCTTACGTGACACCATTACCATCCTATTTCCTGTATGTCATTGCTAAGCGCAGTTAGAATCACTGATGTAGCAGAACAATGATTAGATGTTAATGGAGGATCTTACCAACACTGTATTTCTGCAGTCACAACAGATCTGTGACCTACCATCATCCAGCAACACAAGTATACAAACAGGAACACACAACAGTGTTCATTCCACATCAGCCAGGGCACACAAAGTGGTGCCTCTGACAGCTCTGGGGTTCTATGCTCGTTGTAGGAGGAGAGATGACAGCTAGCTGAGCTGCCACATAATTACGAGTGGTCCAGAACCGCAACATGTGGTCAGCTCAGGACAAGTTAGCCCTTCAAAAGAAAACTGATGTAATTGAACTAGAAGAGTTAGTTCAATGCTTCAGGTCATATGTCCTCGGCTGTAGTGCCTTAAAGCCAGACTTACCTTCCCGGCACACAACCCTGAAGCTCACTATTAGACTGTATTGAGCATACCATTTCTTCCTTTGAGAGGTGACTGCTGCACTCACTGTGCAAATTAATGCATGAAGCATACTCTTTTCTGGTGAAATTAATCTCTGTGCTAGAGGCTTTGCAGACTACCTCTCATTGTGTGGTACACAGGCCAGGGACAGGAGTCATTCTCACTTCTGGGACATAGTTTGCATCAGGCTGAGAAAGCAATAGACATCGAATGGGGTGATGTGGTGCAGAAAAATATGCAACAGAGCAATCTCTCAAAAGGCACTCTGGGTGCAGACCTCTCTGTTTAGCAGTTCATGGTGCAGAAAACAGTACAGAAAGTGAATTTTATGTTTCAGTATTTTTATATAAGCAATCATCTAGCCAAAGACAGATGACATTTCTATATGACATTATATATGTATCCCTGATGTTCTATAAAGTGACTGTGATTCACATCTCAAATATTAGAAGCTTCCATTCCCCATTAGCTGGTGGCTACCAGCTATATAATTGCATAACCACAAAAGACTATGTTGAAGCAACATTTGTTAAAGTAACATTAAAGGGTCTGACTTAAAACCACAAAGGCTAGAAACTTCAGCACTGGAGCTGAAACCGCGGCCGTAATTCACTCAAGAGTCCACCACATATGGCACATATACTGTAAGACCACACACTATTCAGACTAGATCCCTGCAATATCTCGGCATCTTTGAGAAACCAGAAGGTAGAATTCTTTCTTTCACTCTTTTTTTGTGAGATTTCTATGTTCAGATTAGGCCTTCACTGTTATGCTAATGATGTGTCTGTGAGCGGATTTCTTAGTTTGAAAAAGTCTTCTCAGTTACTCTTATCATGTTGTTTGCATGGGACAGACAGACACATGATGCTGGTTTGATTTCTTTATTGATACTTGTGATAAGAACAATACATGCAATTTACACTTGAAACACCCTGAAAAATACCCTGCCCCAACCCAGAGAAGTAGCAGCAGCAACCACCGGGCAGTCACTGCTGTAATAACATCATGCTTTGTGCTTGCATTTATTGAAGCATCACTGAATGGGGAAGTATTTCTGAGCTCTCCCTCAGCAAATTTCAGTGTGTCCATGCAGAGGTTCATAGTGATAACTGCTAAGTCTTGCTTGTGCAACTGCAGGTTCTATAATGGAGCTTTAAGAGGCCAGGAAAACTTAACACTTGCGAAGCTCCATGGCACTGGAGCTGTTGTGTCTCTTACCTAATTACCTCTTTCAGAGGTAGCTCAGACAGCTCTGTGCCACTCCAAAGTCAAATCACACAAAGCAAGAGGTCACATCTGCACCTTCTTATTACCCTTCTGCATGAGAGTTCAGAGCATGATGTGTGCTAACACCTAACAGAGTTTTAATTGCTTCACCCAAACTGATACCACTGAGATGCTTTTACTGCTGAGTCATTTACATTTCAGTTACTGATTTCAGCCAGCCTAGCTCAAGAGAAAGTTATCACCCTTTGAAATGATACTTTCTGTCTGAAACACTCAATTAAAAAAAACAAGAGATGAGTTCCATTTTCCAGTCATGTCACTGCCTTCTTGATAAAAGAAATGATGAGCTATAAAAACCTCAGAAACAGCCTTTCTGATTGAAGCTATCAAGGCTAAGATAGCCTCTGGAGCTGCATACTAAGGACCTGATTATCCCTTCACTTAGATATAAATTAGAAATGACTCTTTTGAAATCAGTGAAGTTACAGAGTAAATCCAGTGTAAATGAGAGGAGAATTAGAGCCTGTACTATTTATTTCTAGCTTAAAGTAACCCATCCAGAGTTAGTAATTATATCTAATAAAACTTGTGCTCTGAAAGCTAAGGATTTCATATTTCATAACCAGAATAAAACAATGTTTCCTTTGCACTTGGTCTTTTCACAGTTCATTTTTGCTGCTACAAGGAAAAATTTATAAGCCTGTATTGCCGCCTTTCTGCTGTCATAGAGCTGGACTCTCTGAAAACCCAGCAATCCCTAAGGGAAGCAATTTCAGACAGTGAAGTCGCTGCAGCCAAACAAAGACACCAGCAAGTTATAGACTACATACAGGTAATAGTCTGTTTCTGCCTATTCCAAGGAGATTTTAAGGTGGCTTTCTTAAAAATTGCATAGGGCTGTAACTTGAAATCTAAATGGAGAATTATTCACAGACATCATAAAAAGAGCAGTTGTATCAAAAGTGCAATTCTGTTTTTATGAAATTCAAACCCAGAACATGATTTCCTTAGTTGTTGCTTTTATAGAAGGATTTTTATGGGCAAAATCAAATGACAGTTATACTAGACTGTTATAAAGAAATGTGTCAGCCTGCTTGTAAAACTCACTCCCATCTAATGTGAGGTAAGCTAGTACCAGGCTCGGGCATTCATTTGTATAATGGTTTTTCTCTGTCTTTGTGAACTGAGGACGTTTTTCAATATGAGAAGTTGCCAATTAACAAATTAAATGAAAACTTAGACTAGTTTGCAGAGCCAATCTTCATCAACATTATCACAGCGCAGCGAGCAGTTTTGCACTGAACATGGCAAACCAGCCCCAAGGCATCCGGAAGTCTGTCCAGCACCATGCAGTGATACAGCTTCAGTCCCCCAATGCAGAAGGATCACACATGTAATCATACGTTATCATTCTTGTCTAATTTGATTATTCTCTGTATCTTACACTGATTTTCAGTACTATTCCCAGATGAGCGCTTTACCAACTCAACTCGGGGATCTTCCAAGTACACCACACTGTGCCCCATAGCAAGGCCTGTCCTTTTGCAAACCATTTTGGTAATTTAGAGCTAAAACTCCTATGGACATGGTTGATCTGTCTTTCTACAACTGAGGTGCAGATAAATTAATTGCTCTGCACTCTTAATATTCAAGCATTTTCTGTTGGAATAGGGGCCAAGACAGCCATTTATCCCATTGATAATATGTTTTTATCCATAATTATGAAGAAGATGATAATATTTCTCTTCCTCTTTGCTTTGAATTCAAACCTCCTTTGCCTTGTTCGCTTTGGAGCTTTTGGCAACATGCAGGAGGGCAGAGAGGAAGGTTCCACTGTACTTTCACTGCTCAAACACCTCCTTCCTTCTCATCTTCTCACCCTCACCCTCAGAAAACCTACCTTTTTCCCAGTGTGCAGGAGACTTTGGCACATTCTTCTCCTTCACATCAGAAATGAGTATATGCATGTTAATGTGCATGTACTGTATAGACAGGTCTGTGTTCCTCTTCTCCAAAGTGTCTGGGTCACATATATACGCTGGGAAAATATGGGAGAACATCTGAAACTTCAGTGTTTTGTGCTGAATTATTGTGACAGTGTATTAGCCTTGTCAGGTTTCCCCTCAAATGAAAACCAGCTGTATTTCACCTATTGGCAAAAATATCTCAGCCCACCACATACCGCAATCTTCAGTGGTGACCACAAAACCGCAAGGGCATTTGTGTGATCCTAGATCTAAGACAGTGTTGAAGTCACTACACAAACCAAACATTGTAAAGAGCGAGGGAGTCTATATAAATGCAGTTCTGAAAAGGAGTCAGAGGGCAACTGAAAAGTGAAGATTAAAATAAAATAAAAGAGCAGATAAGGTACTTGGAGACTTTACCAGAATGTTACACAGCAAGAAACCCGCAGACACTGAAACTAGAACTGAAGTTAAGCTGTGAATTATGCAGTGTAATGCTTCAGACGTTCCTGAATTGTAAAAGAACCACAGTTCATTAAAATGACTGGTCCATTATCCCAGGAGACACTGCAGAATGGCATCACAGAGAAAAACAACAGGATTTGCATCTTATTAAACTGCATGCAGTGTGATTTCTGTTTGGGATTGAGGGAGGATCACAGACAGAGAATACAAAATCTCCAAAATCAAATAGGTGAGACGTTTGCTAACTGGCATTCTCTTCATGGAGCAACACTGAAGTCTTGAAATGATGTAGGATTATGAATTAATCTCTGAGCCATTTGCTATTCTTATCAGTGTATATTCTTAGCTCAAATTAACTCAGTGGCAAGGCTTGCACTGACATCATTGGAGTCGGGATTTCACCTTTACATAAAAATGGCCATACTAGGTCAAGACAAAGATCCATCTCTCCAGTTATCCTGTCTCCAATACAGCTCATCAAGAACTACCCTAGCTAATCTGGCATCTACAGTATCCTTTGGCAATAAATTTCACACTCCGAATGTGCATTTTGTGAAGAAGTATCTTCAGCTAAGAATATGTGCTGGAGCCCTCAAAGTACAATATGCGAGTCTGCAGTCTCCTCTTCCCTGGTCCCTTTGTTACTTCTCTATTTGATAATACTCACTGCACAAAGTACCAATCACTTTTGCCTATCCATTTCCTGACCCAGGTCTCTCATTCTGCATCCCTGCAGAACATAGCTTGCATAACTGCAGAGCAGTTTCCCTTAAACACTGCAATATTAATATGAAGGCTCATTTCTTTAAATGCAAAATCTTCTGTAGGAAGAGGAGTGCAAGGCAAGTTCGAGAAAGGGTACTGCAGCAGAAGGATAATACACTCACAGCTACTGTCACTTGCTGGTTGCAGCAACATCTGCTCCGTCATCAAACATGTTGAATTGCTTGAAGATGGTAAAAGTGTTCCATTCTCAGAAGACTCTCAAGACCCACAGTAAACAGCATCTTTTCTCTCCTCTATATCCTGCTATTGATTTAGGCACTTGTCTCTTATTGCCATCAACAGGCATGTGTTAGAACTGTCTTACTGTAGATTTATACTATTAAAATATATGAAGATCAAAATGATGATAAAGGAGAAACCTGCAGTTTGGCTCATAGCTGTGCTTCTACCCTCCATGAATGTACATTCTTCTACGTGTATGTATATTCTTCTGTTAAAAACTAGCTTTGATTGGAGCACTCTGCTTTGGAACATAATCCTGGGTTTGCAAGGATGCTCAAGAAGTCTTGCTTTCATGACAGTACAGAATGAAATCACCTTTCCACTGTGCCACAAAACTGATCCCATTTTTTACTCCATCAAAAGACCATTTTCATTTTCTTTCCATGTCAGAGTTTAGGCCTGAATTCACACACCCACACCCCCCCTAAGTGCAGGTTCTTAATTGAGGTATCGCATTTGAGAGTCAGACTGCAATGGTGAAGGAGAACAAGCACCAAACCAAAGGCAGTTCAGACCACCTACATCTGAAGTGTCCTGTCAGGGGATCCTGCTGCTGTCTGCTGGCAGCATCCACACACCCACTTGGGTGCTTTTATAACGTACGCACTTAGGTAGAATCAATACACAGGCTAACTGTGCTTTTTCACCATTTCTTTTCTCTACAGCAAATCGATGAGATCTGGAGGGAAATGAGATGGATCACAGAAGCACTGCAGTATGCGAGATACAAGCAGCCAGCAGCTGGCCTACCTGTAAAGAAGTTTGTGGATCTTTCAGTAGAACACTCTCAGAAGAAAATCAGTTCATCCTCTTCACATTTAGATTGTCTTCCTTCACCTCCCCCTTCACCTGAGGCTAGACTCCAGAGAAGAAAAGCTGTGAGTGGTAAGAGAACTCTTCTTTGTTCATCAAACAAAATCCTTTAACTCACTTTCACTTGTAACAGTTCCTGTATTGTCTTTTTATAAAAGGAGTCAACATTTTCCCATACCTGCCAGGGTATTTTAACAATCATTTTACCAGCCATTTGCCACTCTCTATCCTGAGATCTCTCTACAATCTTTGCAATCAGTTTTTACCTACTCAGAATAACTGCTCAGCATCAGCCAACTCTGTCAACTCACTGTTCCATGTTATTAAATGAACAGGTTGGAAGGCACAAGTGCTGTCACTGACTTTGCTTTGTTTTGACAGAGCAAATTTTAGTGCCAATAGTCCAGTTTAAAAGTCGTTTTCACATACCTCAGTGTTGTCAGTGTCCCAGACAAGCACTTTAAAACACAGACTTACACAAGTAAGTACCCACCTCACTGACTATTACTACTTCTCTGAACAGCTGGAGAACTAAACTGATGAAAGAAATGGATGACAGCAAATAAAGGTGAAGCAAATTAAACAGTAACACCTAATTTGCTAACAGAATGAGGACTTTGGAGAAAAATGTAATCCATCATTCTGCTGAGCTGTCTTTAAGCAATAAGTAAATGAAACAGCAGAAACAAAAGCACCACATGCTCCATTAAACAACTGCCATGACCATTTTGGTAATAATAATTTGTGAGGTTTATTTAAATTGGAAGTTTTATACAGTAAAGAAAAATGAATACATGTACTCTGATTAGATTAGGCTGAAAGCAAGCCAGAGACGATGGTGTTTTGATTCACTCCATTACACCATGGCATTCTTTCTCAGCATCTCTCCCTAAACTGATTTTTCCCTGTATTACAGACCATGAATGCAGGATAATCCTTAGCTCTGGCACCATGTTAACTAGAGCATTATCTTGTCCTGCATGGGCTTGATTCACTATTGCTGGGCTATATGATGATTTACGCTCAAAGTGAATAGTCAGCACTGTATAAAGTCTACATTTCTTTTCCTTGGATCTAATATAAAACCTGCAGGGCAGTGAAGCATCAGCCCACTCTATCACATATGCCACTATTTATTATGTTATTGATCCCTCTGCAGCCAAAAGACAGCAGTGGTTTAGTGATGGTGTGGTCAACAAATTCACATCTGAATTAAGTGTTTTCTGCTTGTATATGAACACAAGTAACACACCTGATGGACAAAAGGGTAGTTTTTGTTCATCTGCCTCCAGACGAACCTCTTAGGCACACACACAGTTGCACCTACTCACAGTTACAGAGGAATACATGTGGAGTAATTCAACTGGCATCTTTAATAAAAACAGAACCTGGATTAGAGTTTTTCTCTCCCAAATCTCCATCTCTATGAAATTTGGTGACAAGAAGATAAAAGAAAACAGATCCTTTCAGAACATAATCCCAGTTCACACGAAATACACATACATGTTTAGAATTGTAGATCTGACTCTAAATTCAGGAAAAAAAAACATAAAAGACAGTTAAGCCATTTCTTTCCTGTGCTTGTCTTCTTAATCACTTCTCTTTGCAGATTCCCAGCCCTGCTCAGATGAAGAAGGCTGCTCTGAAGTATTCCTTCCAACTGACAGTGACTATGATTCCAGTGATGCATTAAGCCCCAGAGAATTAGACCTGATTTACTCCTCCTCACAGGACATATCCCAGCAGGCCAGCAGTGGCCTGGGTGGCAGTGCACCTGATGTTCTCCAAGTCCACGACATGAAGCCTTGCCTGACATTGAAAGAAGGCCTGACAGAGTGTAGTGCCTTTGATACTAATGCTGAATGTTGCACAGAGGACATGAGCAATCTAACAGTGTCAGGGCTTACATTGAAAAGCATAGACAAGTCCTCTAGCTCCAAGCAGGCACTGAGCTTTTTAGGGAAAAAAAAACTAGGGAAACATCAACATTACAGCTACTTCAGCCGGCACCATCGGTGGCTGCGTGTGTACAGCGAGACACAGTCTGGCTCTCTGTCTGAAGGGGTGTATACTCAGCATCTCATGAGACATTCAGATTTGTCTCAAGAGCCTATCTCCACTGAGCAGGTGAAGATTCCCATTGATGGATCTCGGAGCACTTTCTTGCCTCATGCATCCAGCCTTCCAGAAGATGGGAAAGGCAAGTATGAGGAGTCAAGGCAAACTGTCCATCAGATACATGTGGAGCCTTATAAAACATTTCTGGATGAAGACAGCAAGTCCTGGGCAATGAGCACACAGTCTGTAGAACACAGGGATGCTCACAGTGCTATGCAACAGAAAATGAGTCCAGATGACCAGTCGGGTTCTGCTGTCTCGGAAGTCTTCAGCAGCACACTTTAACCCTCAGACTTGTGCATTGCTTCCCACTGCTACACAGTAAGAGAGTGAGCATCGTGCATACAGGGCCATACTTTCAAAACCACTTGGAAATCTCCAGCTCCTGAAATGGCAACTCATGCCACTCAAAAGAATCCTCATCTTTTGACTTCATCACCAGGTTTCTGGTCTTACAGAGGTATCATCTGTCACGATGTAAGCTTTATTATTGGCATCTGCACTTTTGCAGGTAGAGCTGTAACAGTCACCACAAAACAGAACAACCTGTGGCTGCAAATCTAGTAATGAGGTTTTGCAGTTCTCCTGGTTTCCATGTCTCTCTGAGCATGCAAAATTTTAAGCATGAGTGGTTCTGCCTGCAAGTTAGCAGAAACTGTAACATCCTTGGTGTCCTCACGTTAGGACTGTGTCCTAAACTTGTACTAACCAGTTCTCCATTATTTTGTGTCAGTTTTTCTACTTCTTGAATGGATTTAGGCTGCATATAACTGAAGTGCTAACTGCTCTAGGAACACATTTAACCCAGAGTTTCACTTACAGAGAAATGAGAAGTCTTTTGGTACCTAGAAAAGGCACTCAACTCCACCTCTGAGTGCTGTCGAAGTCTGACATAATTATCACAAGGGTTTTTTTCACCAGCTTAGATTTCAAATTATGTATTATAAAGGCTTAGCAGGTAAACCTTTGGGGTCAAGAGCAGGCAGAATGAGACCAAGTTCTGAAGGAATAAGATGCAGAGTCTAAGTGAGACTGAAGCTTGGTCTTTTCTTCTGCCCAGAACACAAGAGCTCATTTCTGCATGTTGGCAGCATGCTCATACACCCGTTGAAAAGAAATGCTCCTACTTTTGTTCCTGAATATTCACTGTAAACTTCAGGGGTATTTGATCACCATGTCTGAAATTGGGATAACTGTAATGATTAGGGAAATTTGGGGTACGGTTTGAATGCATTATTTGGGCCACCAATATTGTATCATAATGAGAGTGGGAGGTGGTGTTTTAGCATGCTGTGTTTGTCTAAAGGCAGATCACACCGAGTCATGATGTTGTCCTTTACAACCAGAATCAGCTTATAGTACTACAGGAGATGATCTCAAAAATGAAATCCCTATTAATGAGAACCATAACATTTGAGTCAGTAAGAAATGAACGAATGTGGAGAGAAACCCCAGCTGTTGCACAAGCTTTAATTTTTCTTAAACAGTTCTTGAAGTTTAATTTTATAGGCCACATTCCTGCTGGTTAAATTCCCTCACTCCATGTTTGCACAGCCTTCTACCTTTCAATTTTTCAGCCTCCAGGTGGATACATTCTAAGGCCTCCAATAAAGAGATTTGAGTTAAATAGTTGAGTTTACAAGTCCTTGAGGTAAAGGTAAGGATTTGGGCCCATGATCTGTGGTCCTTATTAAAATAGCACTTCCATAACCCCAGTGCTATTAAAATCCCTGTGAACTCAATCCATAAATTCAAAAATAAATGTTATTCACTATTTTATGCTTGGTCAGTATGTGGAAGCCAAGAAGAGTCTTTGCAGTGATACAAGGGCAAAAACTTTCTATAAGGATTTACATTTGTAACTTCTCTTTTTGGGAGAGGGAAGTTAATTTTTCACCCAAACTATTCATTCATTCCCTGATCCGAGGCTGGAAAGACTTCCATTCACTTCCACAGGCTTTGAATGAAACCCATATTGAAAATTCCTGTGGGTGAGAAGATGCTGGGGGGAGCAGAAGTGTCAGTGCCAATTTGCAGCTAGAAGGACATACATTGTATGTTGTATGCCACATGGAGCTGCAGGGGGAAAACCTGACTCACACACCATAGAACCAAACAGTGATGTTTTACTGTCACTGAAGGCAGTAACAGCTTGTTACATTAGATTATGTTCATTAGCAGAAGGCTTTGCACCAAGGAGAGCCAGACAGTGTAATGCTCATACTCAGAAGTCAAAATAATTTAGATTGTTTTCTAGGATACAGCACCTAGCCCAGGCTCCCCTAATCTGTTTAGCCTCTAAGCAAAACTGCCATAAAACTGTCTATTAAAGAATAAAAATAACAATACACTGAGGCCATATGTTTTTGCAGGAAGCGATGAGATAAAACAAGATGTTCCTAAATGAAACCCACCTTGCTTTGCTTCGGCTCTTCAGGAACACTGAGGGCAAGAAGTAGCAAGAACCACAGCAGAACAGGTACACACTGCTGGTTAGGTAAGGATGTAAAAATCTCTGTTACCTACTTCTGCTGCTGGACTTTTCCAGCAGTAGTCATGTATCGAATAACGAGCTGGGTTCTTTACTGGTAGAAAGGGCTTGATTTCATCATAATCTGCTGTGCTAAAATGGAATTTGACTCTGAGAATGCAAATGGCAGCCACAATGTACCCCACCTTGATTCTAACTTTGTTACATGGAAGTAGTGTTTACATGATGGCCAATGGGGCATGCTTCCTTAATTCTATTAGCTCTAAATTGAGGTTCTTCCACATACTTTAATAGTCAAAGTAGTAATTGATAGTTCTGACTTTAAATACTTCTGATGATAAAGCACTGAATTGTCTCGTTAGAAATACATGTTCTTTGTTCAAAATTATCATCCCTATCTATTCAGTGGGTGATTGAGCAGAGCAACGCCTTAAAAGAATAGTAATGAACACCCAGAGATAAATAAATAGTAGAAAGTGGTGCCTTTCAAGTACTGTCATAGTACTGATCATACTGCTGCTGCAGTTGTCTTAGGAAGATCACTCACACATTTCACAAGCAGCCACAGCAATTCAGAAGCATCCTGCAAACTACAGCACTGTATTCCCACTCCATAAAGGCACAAGTGGCTCTTCTGAGTAGGGCTTAAGAGTAAAGGCTCACAGTCAGGAATCAAATTAAAATTAGGAACTCAGATCTTTGCTTCAATTACTGGGAACCCTTTCCCCAGGTTGGGCTCAAGTGCCCCTCCAAGGATTCCTGCACAGAAGGGGGAAATGCTGTGGCTCAGAGCCCACAGCACACCAGAGTTTCATTAGCCAGCAGACAGCTCATTCAAATGAGTCTGCACCCACTGAAGCTCTGCCCTAAAATGGGTACTAAGGCTTCGTAAACTTCTGGACATCTCTCTTTTACTCCTGTATCTTGCCACAGAACTTTGTCCTGCATTTTCTAGGGAGTGTATATTCACCTGGGCTGAACTCAGACCCTCCTATCTCTAGGCATGACTTAACTGGCTAGGAAAAAACATACTGCTTTAATACTGTGACTCGACAGCAAAAAAAAGAATGTGGATCATATCTCCCTGTTTAGTGGACTAAAACTTTCCTTTTTCTGCTGGTAGGAAGCAAGTTAGAGGTAAACTGCAAGGGAATTCCTAGCATCAGCAAGAAGGCAGTCTGCCCATGGATAGTTTGCCTCAATAAAGCTGTGCCTTGAGCACTGATTTCCCAGGCTTGTATTTCTTCTTCCTTTGCCTTTAGGTATTAGTTGACAATTGGATTTTCTGGACAATAAAAGCACACACAGGGAAATCTACAGTATTTTTAAACATAGATACTAAAAGGGGAAGGAGAAGATGGAATATTTTATCCTGAACATTTATGTTTAGAGCGTTTTGGAAAGAGATGGTGCATCTTTAAATTCTCTAAGGTATAAAGAAATGCATTAAGTTGCTGGTCAACTCTTTTAAGGTGTTTAAATGCATGGCTCATGACTGTTACGTAAAACTTCAATACAGCCTTACAAACAACAAGGGTATAGTGTATTTGAAACTATGGTACACAGCTTGGAAACTTACTCTGAATTTCTCTGAGGTGTTGAACTTTGCCATCAGCAAAAAGCATTTTTAGTAAAGAGGCCTTGAATTTTCAGACAACGGAGATTTCATCAGGTTGGGTCGGATTTTTCCACTACAGAAAAACACTAAGTAGCTGGAATACTTTATTTGTAAGTATAATCTATCTTTTGATTCCATCAAGTAGAATTCATAAGGCTAAATCATGCCCAGAAGCGAGAAGCAGAGCTGTTGGAACAGTATATTCTTTGCAAAACCCAACGGCAACGTTCCCGAAGGCAGGCTGTGCATTATCTCTGGCAGCTTTGGCCTCTTCTGTGCTAAGTGAACATCTGCATCTTTTGTGCTAAGTGAGCATCTGCAAAGTCATGAGAAGTCAGTTTGTTGATTTGACTGGAGCAGGCCCCACATACTGCTGAAAGCTGTGCAGCTCCTACCAGCTCAGAGGACATCTCGTGGTCCTGGTGTTCGTGAGCACTTACCCAGCTTGCTGTCTCTCAAACGGAGCTTTGGGGGTGAAATAAGAGCCAGGCTGGAATACGTATTCACACGACAGCACCTTGGGCAAGATTTAGCCTTTAAACCACTCACACTGTAATAGAGTAATGTGTTAGTAAGCTTGTCTGTCATTAGCCTACAGGAAACCTCGTCTTTTGCTTGTCAAATAATAAGAATAGATTTTTTACGCTTATGTTCATTTTCTCCCTTGGAAAAGCTATCTGAAATTGACCTAACCTTAGAGAAAGTGGTTGGTGTGGCACTAATCTACCTTATTACTGTGAATTGTAGTAATTTATTAAGCAGATTTTAAGTTAAACGCACAGAGGTTTTGTGTTTTGCTTTATATAATGGTCAGTTTGAGGCCAATTGTGCTGTCCTTAGACCTCGCTCCAGGTCCTTTTGCACCAGTGTAAACTATGAGTAGCTCCACTGAAGGCAAGTCAGGTATTGCCTTGTACAGATCAGCATTACCTCCACTGACTCACAAGGCTGGCTCGGCATCAGCTGAGGATCTGGATCAGTGGAGTCATCACGAACACAACACACAGATGCTGGTGCAAAAATGGTATGTGTAAGGAAGACAAAAGGGGATTTATCTCATGGAACATCCCCCTGGAGGTCACAGGGACAGTTGTTGGAGCTGGCTCATAGAGTGAGCCCACCACGCTGCTGTGTTACCAGTTGTACTGGGGGGGGTAACCTATACTGCATGATCTATTGCTACATTTGATAACAGGGACCAAATTTCTCTCCTGTATTATGCAAATGAATCCCCTGCTAAATGTAATGGGAGTTTCAGTTACTTTCCTGATAAAAATGAGGACTGTTGAGGGTTATTGGGGACCTGGGGGGAGGGAAGAGGGGTTGTTTGGTTTTTTCCCCTCAGAGAAAAAGTAATTTAAGTGAAATGTGCAAGGCAGTGTTTAATTGCTTCCTGCCTTGTTTGTACATAGCAATTTGGCTGTTTATTGGTTGTCTTTGTTCAGATTTTTATTGTAACTTGTTGCTATATATGCAACCAAGCGTATGTTAAAGTTTAAACTTTGGTACAAAATAATGCACAATTTTATGTGCTTTAAAACTTTGTAAATATCTAGATGAACAATGTGGGCTGTGCTAACTGTGATCTTGAGACTTGACGCAACAATATTTTCATGCATATGTACCTGCAAATGGTTTGAAAATAGCAAAATATATCTTGAGGATGGCCACGAGCCAAGAGTAAATGAGTGCCGCATGACTCATGCTTCTTTAATAATTCCTGAAAGAGGCATGTCTAGTACATAAAATAGACAATAAAAATAATTTTCAAGACTACAAATATTTTTTATAACTTCAGATATTAAATACTATTTTAGAAAAAAGATTGGTTGGTAAAAGAAATCAGGTTTATTCGAGTGAATCATTGTCATAAAAATGTTCTTAACATAGATTTTTTTGTTTGATCTAATATCATAGAAACCCAGCTCTTTTAAGATTTCGAAGACTTGAAGTGCTCTTGTGTTCTTACCACTCCTGTGATCTTCTGAAATGATGTACTTCAGGTCTTTTCCCTCATTAACAAAAACATGCTAGCGTATACATTCGGAATCCTAAATACCATGTGCACTTGTGTATTTGACCATCACCAAGTACCCACCTATATGAGCTTTACAGTCCATAGAAATGTGAATGTAGCTTGTGTTTTTCCCTGAATTCTTTTATTTTTATTAGAAAATGACTTATTCTAAGGCCAAGCTTTCAAATATGGTCTCCAAAGTTAAATTTTGGGCTACACATTCAGACATCTAAACAAAACATGGCTTCCAGAGCTTGCGGGCAAAAATAACCTGCCATCAAAGTCAACAGGAATTGAAACTCAATTTGTACAAATGCAATTGCCTCAATACAGCAGTGATATCTGGGTAGCTGGATTTGAAGCGGCATCTTTCTAATCTGTGTGTTACAACTGCAGAAAGTGCTGGCATACAAGTATCAAAGCAGTGAACAGCACCAAGATCTTGCAAGCTGACAGCCCAAACCCTCCCCAAGCCCAGGGCTCTCCTATGGGCTCAGCAGCTTTCGGCTGGGTATTTGCAATGACACCCAGACAGAATCCACTGCATGCTTGTGGTGTGAATCTGTGCTTTCAAGCCATGTTGTAAACACTGTACTGGAGGTGTATAATCTGCTTGTAGCCAACACCCCAGATATTGCCTGCTGACGGGAAGTACCTTATGAAAGTGAAACACTCTTCCATTGTGACTCCTCCATTTTTCACATATTCTTGTTCTCCAAAAGCATGGCAACATTTCCAATGTAGGATAAAATTGGGTTATTGTATGTAAACAAGAGAAATAAGAACTCCATTTTCAATGCTGAAGTGAAAGGACTTGGGTCACTTTTTACCTTGTTTCCCAGATGGAGAGGTTGCTAAATCTACTTTAAGCACCATACTGTGGGAGCCTCTCAGCATCTTATGCACTATCCTACCTTTTGTACAGATACTGCTGTAATTAGAATAGGTGACATACCCAAGGTCACACAGAGAGCTTGTGACAGAGCAGGGACACAATTTTCTGGCTTAGCATCCTTACAACATCAGCAGCAGCCAATTATTCATAGCTTCTGCACAAGTATATGTGGTAATGTAAATGTTGACAAATGTCTGTATTCCAGCCAGGACATGCCAACTCATTGCAAGCTTCAGGATAACAGCATCTTACTGGAGTATCTGTGGGTATTTTCACACATGGAAAATATTGTAACCAAAATGCAGCCAAAGTGGAGCTCAGCAGTAGAGTGAAATACTGCTTAAACTGTAAGATAAAATGTGACTGTCGGTCACCTCTGCTTCCTTCATTTTCAGTTGCAAAACATTGTTACCACATTTCCAAAGTCAGTAAAAGAAAAAAACCAAATGCAAGTAATTAGTCATGTACAGTAAGCTAAGGAATTAACTAGAAAAAACACTGCAAGACAAAGAAGGATTTTTTGTGTGCATGTACTTAAATTACTTGGGGGCATTTCTGCATGTACCACACAGCTTTTAGAGCCTGGTTGTTCCTATGTTTTGCTTGCCCCAAGCTGAGATTTCTTCTTTATATGAGAAGATAGGTAAGTGAACAGTGCAGTCCGTCCAGACCTTTCTAACACGTTTGCCATGGTTCCTTGAAGGACAGTGCTGGTTTATAATTGCCTCTGTGTTCTATGATGAAATGCTTTTCAACCAACTGGAAAGAAGTTAACAAACTCTTATCGGCATGTTTCTGACAGCAAAAGACACCATTTCGCTGTTCCATTCAGATGTATTAACTTATATAAACTGTCATCTCTCTGAGCAAACTTATTAACTCATTTTTTAATTCTGCCTTTAAATAAATGCTTTGGGTTTGATTTGGGGTGTTTGGTTGTTCTGCAAACACACAAAAGATCGTTATTAATAAGCTTCATCGTTCTCTTCCCCAGACAGCTGTATTCAAACTCTCTTTTCAAACAAATGTATGTTCATTCAGAAGAGCTAGTAAAATGTTTCTATTTTAAGAGGTTTTAATTACTAATAATTACCCCTAATTAGTCAGTAGGATTTCTGCTCCTTACCTGTGTGAATAACAGAGCTAATTATTCTGATTATCCAATTCATTTTTATTATGGCAAACATGCCGGGAAAAAAATCAGGTACACTCCTCTGCTCTGCTGCTCACGTACACACTCAGTTACACACAAAAAACGGTAAAGTGGGCAGCAATTTATAAACTAATATTAAAGTCAATTTAAAGACAAAACAGCCTTTAATAACAGTAAATAAAAGTGGGGGTTTTTTTTGGTATATATCAAAATAAAATCCCTGCCTTTGGTGAGATGAGCAATTTTTTGACTTAATCAATGCAGTCTTTGCAAAATAAATTGTTTTAAAATTTCCACCAATTTGCTTTTTAAGGGGGAAACAAAGGCAATGCCAAAATGTTTTG